AAGGAGGCCTAGGAAGTACTAGGGAGAGGTGATTAGGCAAGACATGACACTACTTCAGCTTACCAAGGACATGACCCTCGATAGGGAGGTATGGAGGTCGAAGATTAGGGTTGTGGGTTGACAGATAGTCGAGAGTCTCTTCTAGTCGTACTAGTAGTATTAGTATTAGTCTTGTATTCTCTTATTCCGAGTTCCTTGTTGATTAGACGATGTGGCATTATTGCTGGTAGTTTTCGCACTTTTCTTATAGCTTCGTATTCCTAGTTTCTTTGCTATGACATGTTGTGCTATTTCTTTCTATTATCTTATTTCCTTGCCATTGTTATTGTTTGTTTATTATGTCCTTTTCATTGTTCTTGAGCCGAGGGTATATCAGAAATAACATCTCTTCCTTCATAAGGTAGGGGTAAGGTCTGCGTACACATTACTCTCCCCAGACCCTACATGTGGAATTGCATTGGGTTTTTTATTGTTGTTGTTGTTGTTATTGTTGTAATCAATTTTTTTTGGTTTGAGCCTAAAAAATCTTTTAATAGAAAGCGTTTCTTCCTCTTGAATGTGTCTTCTGTGGCACAAATTCAAAACAACAACTATTTTATGACCATGTCATTTGAGGCATGTAATAGTTGTTTCATTCCCAAATTTCCTTTCTTATAGAGGATTAGCCCAAATGGAAATGAAATCGAAAATATGGATTAGTTACCTCCTATAACAAAGATTGATACTTTATTTATTTTAAATAAATACCCTTTTAAAAATTATATTCCATAGCTACCTTTTGATTTTTTATAGCCAAATATATATTTATGGTCACCTGCCTTAAGCCATAAAATAAGTTTTATATTATTTTTCTCTCTCCACTCAAATTTCTCCTATCCCCTCAAATTTTTCGTATCCCCTGCCCCATATCTATTTTCTCTCTCTCTCTCTCTCTCTCTCTCTCTCTCATCTTCCACCTTCATCTTACTTTTACAGAGCATCTCAAAGATATTTTTGTTTGTACAGTTTCGACAAAACAAGAAGGGCACAATTTGCATATTTGAAAATCCTCTCTAAATAATTCTTAATTCAGATATTTGGCCTTGTGAGACCATGAAAACTGAGATCTTTTGGGGTTGAAATCTGCCATTAATATCGTTAGCTTCAGCCACTCTTTGGAGTAGAAAAGATAAGTAATCTACGAGTTTTGGCATCAGACTTTGATTTTGAGTGATTTTTAGCTCTGCCATTATTGTATTGGTACTAAAAAAGAAAGGAAAAAGGGGAGAGAAAAGGGATGTGTTGCTTAGGAAAATCGTTGGCGGCAAGGACGATGTGGTAGATAAGAAAGTGAAAATTGAGGTTTCTATTCCGAGGGAATTGTTATTTTCATCTGCTGAGACGACATTAGGGTTGTTCTTGAACAAAGACGACAGAGTTTGGAGCTAAGCAACTTGAATTTTTTGTTAATATATTTCAATGTATTTCTATGTATCTCGCTGTATTTCCATGTATTTCATTGTATTCATTGTCTTTTTTTTTCATTGTATTTCAATGTATCTCGCTATATTCCATGTATTTCATTGTATTCTGTCTCGTTGTATTCCATGAATGTATTCATATATTTTTTTAATTAATATAATTTATGTATTCAGATGTATATATGTATTCAAATTGCTCTGTTTTTGTTGTATTTATCGGCTGGAAAAAATATTCAGTAGATTTTCTCTAAAGATTGCTATGTTTATGGGGTGTTTTTCAGTTGAGAATCTTTTTTATAACTGGAAAAACAAATTTTTTGTGTTATAATTGAGTTTGTTGAGTTATATTAGGAGTCTATTATGTTAATTGATTCACTTTTCGTTTAAAAACAGCTGAATAGACCATGAATCGCGCTATTTACGTTACTGTATTCACAAATACATATCGTGAATACAATCGAATACAATAATCTGTCTAGCTGTAATCCCTTGTTTCACGCCGTGAATACAGTCGAATACAAAAATCTGTCTAGCTGTAATCCCCTATTTCACGCCTAGAAATGCTACTGTATTCATGAATACAGTAGCTTAAATACATCGAATACACTCTAAAAACCTTAAAAATATAGCTATAGGAAGTAATATAGTAAATGATAGCGATAACTAGCTAATAATCACTAAAACACAGTGGTTTCTAAAAGTTTCCCTTTTTTTTCCTTCCTATTTTCTATTTCTTGGGGGAGCTAAAAAGGGTGAGAAGGAGCGGTCTGTGAACTGGACCACGAAGACCTAAAAAAGTTAAAGTGACAGTTCTTTAAATTGAACTCAAAGAAAGGAATCCAAACACATTAGGAAGTTACCATAGTTTAATGTTGTATACAAAAAGGGGACCAAACTACAAATTCCTACTTCTTCTCTTTTCTATACTTTAATAAAAAGATATGAGGCTACCCTATTAAAGTTAAGACTTTTTCTTTCCAAAGACTCATCTTTTAGAATTTTTAAGGAATTCTTTTCCCGTTTGTTGGGCAGGGTTTGAAAATTGATTCTAATTTTTTGGAGGAAACCAAAAAACAAGAGAGTTAATTGATTAGTTTTTTATTTCTTTTGACTCGGCTAATTCGGATTTATATTAGGAATTTCATTCATTTCACCACATGATTATTTCCTTATTAATAAAAAGAAAGAAAGCAATTCATTTCAAAAGACAACAACTAAAGTTTGAAGTGATGCTTCCATCCAGCAGTATTGTGATTAAATATTTACCAGTTCAACTAAAAATGTTTAAGGGACCATCAAAAAGTGCAATCTACGTGAATTAATAACACAATGAAACAAATACGGAAAGCACAATCAATTTGACTTCCAATCAAATGATGAATCCCTTTAAGATGTTTGCTATATATAGAAAATAAATGCCTAAGAATGTCGCTCTTGACTGACTTAGGAATTGACATATATATATATATATATATATATATATATATATATATATATATACGAATAAAAACTTCTTGCAACTGCTTGAATTAACCACATCACAAAGGCTTTAATATTAGTTTCTTCATGTACAAAATAAGGAATGAGTAATCGCATTCATGTTCAGTCAAATTAAAATAATACTTATGGTTTATGTGTATTCCTTGGAAGATATCAAAACGTATTTTTAATAATGTTCTTCTGATTGAATATTTTTTAAATTCCAATATATGACGATATAATAGCATACAAATAATGGCAGCTAAGGTTTAGGAAAAAACATTCAGATGGGGTAACATTATGTATCAACCGCATTGACATTGACAGGATAACTTATTTACTTATATAAGTAGTAGTAACAATGTGAATAATTATTACGCTGATAGTATATTTTAACCGGTTAGTACATGTTATTTATCATTCCCTCCATTGCAATTTATGTGTTGGTATTCAATTGGACGTGGAGTTTAAGAAAGAAAAGAAGACCTTTGTACTTTGTGTTGTAAAAAACCATAGAAATTTGTGGTGTTATAAAGCATCTCATTAAAAGTAAATTCAAAGTTTAAAGTTAAATTATTTCTAAATTAGAAAGTATGCCTTTTTTGGGGGACAGACTACCAAGGAAAATATGACACATAAATTAGGACCGAGGGAATAGTAAATTTTTAAATTACTAAATTATAGAAAATTATCTGTTGTGTAAGAAAAACTGTGCAAAAGTCAAACTCTTAGTTATATTTATATATATGTTGTAAAAAGTGAGAGTGGTTGAGATTGAAAGTAGCTCTTAATTTGTTTATGTAATTGGTATAGTAAAACTATCATTTAATAGTATGTGTTTTAAGAATACGTTGACAAACAGTTACAGATGGAGTTATTAATTGTAATATAATGCAGGTAATATCCAAATAAGTTGACTTATTTTGCAGGGGTGATGTAATGAAAAAATGATATCAAATTAAGATAATCCACCTCTTATAAAAGAATGCCGCAAATAAATTCTTCAAATTTCACAGTAGGCAGCAAAGATCTAAAACTGCTTCATTAAACTAATCATTCTATGCAGATGTAATGGAATGACCATTTCTTTGGACTGATTTCGAAGGATACTACTACACTATTTAGAATAGGGTTTAAGTTATATACAGTATGTTTTAACCATTTTTACCAGGTTATCAAAATAGGCATGCTTATCATAGAAATTTAGCTGCGACTACCTAATAAGACATCTACAACAACAACAACAACCCAGTGTAATCCCACAAGTGGGGTCTGGGGAGGGTAATATGTACGCAGACCTTACCTCTACCCCGAGGGGCAGAGAGGCTGTTTCCAGGAGACCCTCGGCTCAAAGAGGCAACAAGAGACACTATATTAGTACTATCAATAGACTCATAATAAAACAACATAAAGTACCATAAAATCCATAACATAACATAAATACCATAAAAAACAAAGTAACAGCAATATAAGAGATATAGGAAATACGAGAAAGATGTAAGGTATTAATACACAGGAGATAAAGCCCATCATCAGTAGTTGATCAATAGCATCCTAAGACTACTTCCTAACTGGCTAGTCTCACTCTAGTGCGCTGTAACACCTAATAAGTAATCTAATTGTATAAAAACCTTACATTGTCTGCGCGTAAAACATAATTGTTGCCATTGTCAGTCAGTTAATCTTGAGTCATGCATTGTCCTATACAAGCACAACTTAATTTAAAGTTGAATTCGTTTTGGTACTCAGTTCTATTTCTTCTTTTATACGTTCGTCTACTTGAAATGCTTACAAGGGGCAAAATAGTTAAAAGTCAATTACAAGGATATATTTACAGTGAAGCTAATATTTTGCAAACAAAACAAAACGATTATGATTCCATTCCTCAATATTAGACAAGTAGGACTTATTCTTGTTTTACATGCAGGGTCGACAATATCAACTTGTTTCCACAATATCAACTTGGAACACCATATATAGGTGCCTACTTTCTGCTGCTTGCTTGGCTATTCCATTTCATTCTTAATTCCAGAAAAAGCTATGCTTCTATATAAACTTAAGTAAAGAGAAACTCGAATATCAAAGAGTATAAAGAAATATCTCGACCTCATTCTCATTACACAAGAGTCAAATTTTCCTAATATAATGAATCAAAGATCAAAAAAGGAAGACTAGGAAAGGAACACCTCCAAACAAAACTGGTAACAGAATTTCCATACATTTACCACATGCCCCGGATGCCAATGGATGTTTCATTTCCCTGATGACCATGTAAATGAAAACACAATAGTGACTATCTAACACAATGGAGCGACAGTAGTGCAGATGCATGAGGTGTGGCAATGTCCAATGACTTCAGAATGTCTTCTCTCACGCTCGGTTACCTGATTGGATTAAGACGTGTTGCCTATGCTTGTTTATAGAATAGAACATAAGCTTGATCGTGCAGCACTCTATTAATGGTAACAGCAGTAACAGAGGCATCATCAAATCGCAACCACTTCCCACTCTGGTTGCGACAATCGGCAGTATAATGCCCCTTAGAAGCTTCCCTCCCATGATGGGTTATTGTGGAAACAAGTTGATATTGTCGACCCTGCATGTAAAACAACAAACAAAAGTTTCACCTCACGTAAATCCATGGAAATCATGCCATAGTAGAAGAATGTGTTGTGTTGCTTCCTACATAATTCGTACAAAAAGGTGATGATTTTTTATTTTTGGACCCAAGGGGACGTCAATATGCTCTGTTGAGAAGGTTTCTGACTTATGATGCATTTCCCCACTTCAGTAAATGACGACACTTAATTCGCCATGTGAGTTAGCAGTATGATCTGTCCAATTTTGCTCTATAGATATCTATGACTTCCAAAACCCACAAGGGTGTAATATATATTCACATTTAACACTTAACTGAATTAAATGCCTACTATTTGCATAGTAGTCGATATATCAAATTAGTTCACTGAAGGTGAGGTATTTAGACTATAAGGGTTCAAGTACATCAGCTCTTTCGCTTTCGCTTATACTTTCCTTCCTTCCCATGAATGAGACTTTTTCAGATAGACCAAACTTTCGATCAATTTAGTTCAATTACCAAAGATCTTGAAATTGCAATTTGAACAGTTGAATCCATTTCTATCTACAATGACCTTCAAAATATTCCTTATAACACTATAAAATCGCAACCAGAATTATAAAATCAAAAATTAAATTATTTCCCCCTGATTGGGATAGAGGGTTAACAAAGAACTTCATTAAATTTGAATATTACCTCAGTAGTCGAATTAGCAAGTAAATCACGGCTTATCACTAGTTCAGGAGGGAATTGCACCGGTTTAAGCAGTTTAGTACTTCCGTGGCTTCCATAACCGAACCGCTTCAAGTGTAAAATCATCATCTTAGGAAGTGTCTGTATGCTGATGGATTTTCTGGCACTACCTGATCCAGACTGCAAGGAAATAAACTATGTTAGAGGTCAAAAACCAGCTAGTATCCTGCCTTTGATCAGCGATCACAACTACTACGCCTCAATCCCAAACAAGTTAGAATCGGCGATATGAATCCTCGTTTCTTTCTTTAAGCTCAACCGACATCACCATTATTACTAAAATAAAATAAACGTGAAAGTGAAAAATAAGATAAATGTATTATATAAATAACAATAACAACAACATACCCAGTGTAATCCCACAAGTGGGGTCTAGCGAGGGTAATGTGTACACAGTCTTTATCTCTACCTTGTGTAGGTAAAGAGGTTGTTTCCAATAGACCCTCGGCTCGAGGAAAGCAAAGTCACAATAATATAGGAAAGAAACTATGGTAGTGAAGAAGTCATGAAAAAAAACTATAACAACAGCAAGATAATACGAAAATTGAAGCAGAAAAATATCAGGTCATTCATAATAATAATAATAATAATAATAATAATAATAGAAGTTCTCTACTAAGTCTAAGCTCATTCCCAACTAGTAGGTATCACCTATATAGATCTTTCTCTTCCATTATGTCCTATCTTTAGCTAAGTTTGCATTGATTCCAAGGACTTGTAGGTCTTTCGAGACAACTTCTTTCCATGTGATTTTATGTCTACCCTATCCCCTTTTGACACCCTCCTTCACCATAGTTCCACACCTACGGACCGATGCATTTGTAGGTTGATGCAGGACATGACCAAACCATCCGAAGAGACCTCTCATTTTATCCTCATTGCGTGCTACTTGCACTTTCTACTGAATGTCATCATTTTTAATCTGATCAGTGATCACTAAACCAGCAATAACTTCTGAATAATCAACTAAGAGGAAAACGAAGTTAATCCCGATGACAAGTAGAAGGCTGATTCGACACCTAAAAGTTGGAGGAGAGCAGCTATGCAACTAAGGCATCAGATCTTATAAGGTTGAAAGATGCAAAGAAAGATATATTTGCAGTTAGAACTTGTTGTCAAAATATGAATGTAGCCGGGAGAACTGGAAAGGAATGGCCATGGAAAATCCTGTAGCAAAATATGATTGAACCTATAAAACTAGTTTTGGATGGACTATTATGCGTGAAGCTTGTCTAACATAGGAAAATTTGACGTTGCCTATGAGGACTGCACAATGAAAATTCACAACACTTGTTTTTTTAATTTTCGAGTTGCGAGGGACATATGGTAAAGGTTTTTAATAACCATTTCAGGGTTTCAGTTGGTGATGCAAAGAACTTTAAGAATGGCTTTTTGGAGCTGGCATGGGAAAAAGGCTTCAAAACAACTGCAGAATACATGTCTCACAGTCCCAGTCTTCACTTCATGGACTATCTAGAAGAGGAAAGAAACCCCAGATGATTTAAAGGAAAATTTAATCGCCTTCACAGATTGAAGGCTTTTTATCAAACAACCTTATCCTTTTAGTGTAAGTTTCCATTTTGTAGGTGACATACATGAACATTTGGATTTCATAGGCTCCCGAAAAGATATAAGAGGGACAGTTTGACTCCTTACTGTAACTCATAACACTTAGTGCTAAATTGTGAATAATACATTATCAAAGTAAAAACAAAACAGGTTGGTGGCACAAACAATATCCATCAACAGCAAAGTTTCTTAGGGAACTTGTACACTAGAGGCCTCTGAATTGTGACCCATCTAAGATTCAATACAGTTTTATGCAGTAGGTCAACATATTCAATAATTGACATTAGAACTGGACCATTCCCCAACTAAGAGCAGACAGTAAAAACCATAATGTCCAAAAGGTAGCGGAGCAATTTACCTTTCCTATTGTTGTTCTATATTCCTCGAGTGTCTCTGGAGCAGCAAATAGACGGAGAGCATCTTGAATGGTACGAACAGCCTCATGTGAAATATCAAGATGGAGCACGAAAAATGGTTGAACAGTGGCAGAGGCTTTGTTCCCTATAATAAAGTAAATTCAAAATCTTAAACTCAATCTAAATTTAAAAATAGTTGAGACTTGAGAGAACCTCATTGGTCAGACAAATTTCTCTTCCCTACGGAAAATAGATAAAAGACATACTAGCATGAGCACAACATCCAGTTGCTTCACAAACGAGCTATTGCATATATGTCAGATTGGGAACTTGTAATATAGCAAATTTACAGTTTCTGAAACTAAAAGATAATACTGTAGTCTGGTTGCTGGGAAAAAGATAATTTCCTACGATACAGCCAGATTCCAGAAAATACCTTCCTCTGTCGCATTCTATGCGTCCTTTGACAAATTTACAATAAAGGCAGAATTTTTTTTTTGTCATGCAAATAGAAAGTTAATGAGCAATCTATACGTCATGCGCAATCTTTCTGCTAAAATAAAGTCATGAAAAGTAGCAAACGTGAAATTTCTGGGATTTAGAGAGAAACCGAAGCTTCTTACCACTTCTCAAAAGCTGCTTAATTTTGTGTAAAACCTTTTTTTTGTCTTGGAGGGGATATTTAACTTAAACTGATGATCCACACTTCCTTTAACCGTTATCACAGTTGGACCAGGATTCACATGGGCAATCCAAAATGAGAACAACAACAACAACTATTCAGTAAAATCCCACAAAATGGGGTCTGGGGAGGGTAATGTGTACGCAGACCTTACCCCTACCCCGATAGGACAGAGAGGCCGTTTCCGATAGACCCTCGGCTCAGAAAGACGAAAAAAAAAAACAACAAGAAAAGACAATTCATTAGTAACTCCAGTAGAAACCGTAATAGTAACAGAAGAATAAAAACCAAAAGATGAATGACATTCAATAACAGTAACCGGAATCTAAGGTCCGGGGCTAAGATAAACAGCAAGGATAGTGTGGATTCAACATAAACTGCAAGCCATCTAAGATCAACCCTAATCCAACCCCGCCTCACCCCCGGTATGAAGTAAGGAAAGCTCTATTACCCCCTAACTTGCAATCCAAAATGAGAAATTTATGGAAATAACCAATCCCCAATTCTTAGATTTGACTAGTCCTTTTTTTAAAATCAGGTAACACCCCTAGATTTGACTAGTCTTATGCTCTTCATGAGCAGCAGATGATCTTTATATAATAAGCAAATCTACATACTTATAAAAAGCACACTACCTCTTGCTTTAACAACACTTTTCAACTGCCCTCCGAAAATTGCACTTAATTTTGAAGGAACAAAGTCCTGAGTTCTCGTGACTGCAGATTTGTTCTTTGGGCCAACAGTTTCCCATCCCTCATCTTCTTCTGATGAAACAAGTAATGAATTTTTCCCACTTGAACTCGATTGCCCTTCAAGCTTTAGTAATTCACCATGCATCTGATCCATTACAAAACTCAGGAACTCCTGTGCATCTTCTTGTCTGGAAAATTGTTAATAAAAGGAGTTTTGAGATACTTTACAAAGAGTTGACACATTTCTCCAATTTACACTAATCGAGAAATGGTAACCTCAAAGTTGTCACAACAAGTACATTGAAGAAAACCCCAGAAAGAAGACATCTATAACTACTAAACACGTGTAAATAAGTACAGACCTTGGCCTGCCGGAAATGGCTTTAGGCACATCAGGAGTAAATTTCTTCAGAACTGCTTCAAATATTGCTGGGCTGAAGGGCGTACCGACTTCAATACTGGTGGCATCTTTCTTCATTAAATTTGTAGAACCAGGAACAGTAAACTGAGAAAGAAACCCCACAAATGCAGCTAACATTGGATATTCAACCTTGGAAAAACTGTGTATCCTTAGACTTAGCAAAAGCTCAACAAAAGGTGAACATGACAAAAGAGCTTGTAATGTAGCATTAAGGAAGCATAAGTTCCCTGAGTTGATTAAACCGCGAGGTAGTAAGCCTGCAACATCAAGAGGCCCACCAGATACCTCCAGAGGGGCTTGTCCTGAATGTGCACTTTTTGCTGAATTGCTAGTGGGCCCATTCGAATTTCCTTTATTTAATAGTGCACCATCATCTCGTCCAGTTGTGCTATTGTTAATGGTTTTACCCTCATCTTCTGACACACATAAATTGCTAAAGCCGATATTGTGTACCATTGCAGATACTTCATGTCCATTGCCGTAGTAATCATTCTGGACATCTCCATTCTGTTTGATCTCTCTGAGTAAGCTATCTGTCTTTGGTTTCTCATGCCCAGCTTTCGGCTCCTTCATAGTAGAGGAATCTGAGCCTACTTTCTCTTTGGAAGAATCAGGTTGAGAATTGGATACACTGCTGAAACTTCCAAAAGATAACTCAGGCACCAATTTTGAGGAATTAACTAGCACCTTTTCTTCCACGCGCTTATTAGCATCACAACCAGATGGCGGGTTCAGCAATGACTTCGTTTCATCTTCAGTAAATGAACCAAATAAAAATACCTGCAACATCAAGACAAAGGAAACAATCTTGGCTCTATCAGTCTAACCAAAATGAGAGGAAAAGGAAAGGGCAGAATCAGAAGTAGTCAGTAATTTCTTTAAATAATTAAAGTATCACCGAACACAGCACAGCTGTCGAGTAAATTTACAGAAGCTGCAAAAACTAAAGACTGTAATTCTGCCATATCATACCATACCAATAACTTTATCAAGTATCCACCAATCCTTCGGACACATCTAAAGCTCTTAACTATTTTTACAAAGTTAAGAAGTCCAAACCACACTTAACACAATCGCTTGACACGGCTAATGCCAAATCCATGTACCAAAGTCATTTTCAGCCTGCAATTGTAGCAGCTCCTTTGAGTCTTTTACTGCCACCCCCATCAGTTCAAATCCGAGTTAGCCTTCACAAGATTTGTGTAACCACTAATTTATTGACTTAATGCACCTAGCTAAATGCAGGATATCACTGCTCAAAATTCTTCTATTAGGACCAATGAATTTATATTGCACATTGTATAGAAGATTAGTAAAAGTGACCAAATAAAAATAGAACAGGCAAGAATGAACCCTGGTCTTTTCGTACTCCTTGGTAAATAGAATATACCAGCAAAATGCAAGTACCCACAGTAATTGGTCACTACGACAAGCCTGAGATATTCCCAAGTGATCTTATGTAACTTAGCACTGGGCCGCTTCCTACTAGACAAGTATCCATAAAGACAACCATGTGGAGAAAAAAGGAAATTTTTGCGACTCTTTTACTTTGCAGCAAGAAGCCATTCAACCATTAACTAAAATTTTTCTCTAACAGCATATCCATCTGACAGAAATATGGATTTCTTTTTCACTTCCTATGTCATCCACAACAACCACATACCATTAAAACCAAACTAGCAATCAATAATGCACAAATTGATTATTTTTATCAAGAAGTCCGCAACACAAAGAGCATATTCCCAAAAAAAAAATGCACATCATCACAAACAAATTGCTTACAGCCAATAATAACCAGACAATGATAAGCCTATGAACCATCCGAAACTTCTAAAGAATTGATTTTTATCCATAACTCAAAAAAATCAAACATCATAATTCCACTCAATCACCATATATCAGAAACAAAGTGCAGTCTTTACCTTACTCAGGCATCCACAATATGAAGGCCACAAACCACAATATTACAACCACAACTCAAGAACCAATTTTGTCCATAATTCAGAACATTCTAGAATTACCAAAAACCCAACAAAAGCAAAAGAGAAACATCAAGAATCAATAATACACACCTTAGAATCACTCATGCTGTGCAGAGAAGTGTAGGCTGGAACTCAAAAACCACTAAAGCAGACAACTTTATAGGGAACTTATGAAAAATTAGCCTTGTTGCTGCAGACATGAAATAGGAAGAAACAAAGAAACAGAGCATTTAATATTAGCTGAAGTGGATCCGATTATGAACGGGAGAAGCATCGAACAATTCTAATAAACGCAGAATTACGAGACCAACAAGGACAAGGATTGGAATATATAGGGATTTTTGGGACTCTTGGGATTTTGGAGGGTTTTGTTTTTCGTCTGTCCGACTGTCCCTAGTTGTGTGTGTGTTTTTTTTTTAGGTTGTAGGTTTCTTTTGGGGGAAAAGAGGGTGCCGATCTCCTTAAATACGTCGGCTTTTTATACTGAGCAAATTCCAGTTTCTGTATATACCGACCTCTAACTCTTTTTTTTTTTTTTTAACACAAACGATAATATTATACTACTACCACAAATATTACACAGTTCTTACATAGTCCCGTAGGACCATTTCATTGCCAAACTTGGCTAGTTTTTCACAAACACTAATACTAACACACTTTAACTTAAAACTGAAACCCTTCTTGTCCTTTAGCAATTGATGTTCAACAAAATAAGGTGGACGTGCATGATGAACACATCTAGGAACTTTGAAATTCTTCAGTGCTTTCTTTGCCAAGAGGTGGGCTATTTCATTTCCTTCCCTGGAGTTATGCCTCAGGATTGGGTGCTTCAACTGGTGCATTAACAACCTGCATTCCAAAATTAGATTTGAAAGGTTAGGGTTATTTTCATTAAGCATCAATATAGTATTCGTTGAGTCAGTCTCAACTTCGATGTTACGAAGATCAATATGTTTAGCAATATTTAGTCCTTCATGTAGAGCCATTAGCTCGCAATGCATGATTGTGGATGCTCATCCATAAGTTGATCTGTAGTACCCAAAAATCCAGTCACCATTTTTGTTCCTGAAAACTCCACTCAGTCCAGCTTCCAGAGTAGTTTTGGAGAAGGCTCCGTCAATATTGAGTTTGATTGTATTTGCCAGAGGTTTGTTCCAATTGATCTTAACTTGAACCCTGTGCTCCTTAAAAGGGACTCTTTTCTGTAAAGAAATTATATTCCCAGGCTTGTTGGAGGATGACCATGTGACAAACCTTATTACTAAGGTTGTGCAAATTATTGTTGTTTCTATTTTTCCAAATATTCCAAATCGCAAAAGGAAGGATGGTCTTCCAGTTATTTGAGTAGAGACTTGTTTGAATAAAAATATTCTTTAATTTCAAAAGCGAGTGATTTCCATCTTTTAAATAAAGATTTTTTATACCTAATTGTTCCCAACAAGAATTAGTGATAGGGTAGTCGAGGAAGATATGTTCAGCACTTTCCACATTAATTCTACAAATAGTGTAAACCTTATCAATATTCATACCAATGTGGGATAAGTAGGCTCTGCAAGGTATATGATTATGCAAACATTTCCAGAAGAAGAACTTGATTTTGTTTGGGCATTGAAGATCCCAAATTCATTCAAAATCTAGTTTGGGAGGGAAAGAAGGATTGATGAGGGAGTAGCAGGATTTGGTGATGAAAAGACCACTAGAGGTAATACCCAATGTCATAGTATCTTTTTTAGTAAACTTATTAGGTATAAGGGTAGCCATAATATTTTTCATAAGGGTATTAAGAATATAAAAGGAGATATTAGAGAGGTTCCACTTGCCATCAATTATAATATCCTTTATTGGGATATTAAGATCTTTTTTATCAATTGGACTATATAAATTCTTCCTCAGAGAACTCGTGTCATGGATCCAATTTGAAGACCAAATTTTCATATTTTAATTTGAGTGAGGATGCCACAAGATACCATGATTGCAAAAAATTCCATCCCTTAAGGATGAATTGCCAATAAAGGAGGAAGTATTGATTGTTTTTTTATTAGCATATTTATAGGAGATAAGCTTGGTCCAAGGAGTGTTTGAATTTTGTAGTAGTCTCCATGAAAGATCTGTTAGAAGGCAATATTTTTGGAGGAAGTTTTTTGGATACCAAGGTCTCCTTCTTGCTTACTCTTGGTGACGAGATTCTAATTTACTAAATGGAGTTTTTTAGTAGTGTTAGTACTTCCCCAAATGAAATCCCTTTGAATCTTGTCAATTTATTTAAGGATTTTATTAGGAAGATAAGTGTATTGCATGGAGTATGAGGGGATGGAATTTAGAGTGCTAGCAGCTAGAGTTGCACGACCGACTATATTTAGAAATGAGCATTTCCAATGGGACATTTTGCTATGGAGCTTGTTAATTGCGAATTGGAAATCTCTTGGTTTTGGACTATGGTTCAATATTGGGTAGCCTAGGTAGTTTCCAAAATCATGAGTAACTTTCATTCCAAAAAGGTTCGACAAGTACGAGGAGGTTTGTGGAGGACTAAATTTTGGGAGGATAATTTTGGACTTAGTGTAGTTGATTGATAAACCTGATTGGGAGCAGAAAAAATTCATACTAGTCTTAATGCAATGACCAGTTTTTTTGTTTGCCTTACCCATTAGAGTTATATCATCCGCAAATAGGACATGAGAAAAAAACAAGCCTTTTTGAGAGATTTTAATAGGATCCCAATTTAGAATATCTGTTTGGTAATTGATGAGTTTAGATAGTAATTCTATGCAAAGGATGAATATATAAGGTGAAAGGGGGTAACCTTGGCGGATACCCCTACTAGGATTAAAAAATTCAGTAGTTGTCCCGTTAACTAGGATACCCATAGAGTTGGTAGTGATGCAATGCATAATCAACTTACTAATTTTTGGGGGGAAATTATAGAACCTAAGAGTTCTGTAGACAAAAGACCACTCTAGTCTATCGAAAACCTTTTCGAGGTCAATTTTAATAAGCATATCAGGGGTTGTTTTTTTATATTTACGAAGATTATTCATAATCTCTTGGACAATAATTGCATTGTCACTAGCTCTCCTATTTTTAATGAAGCTAGATTGGAGAGGGATAATTAGGTAGGGTAAAAAAGGCTTAATCCTATTTGCAATAATCTTTGTAATAATTTTGTAGGACGTATTTCAAAGACCAATTGGCCTAAAAATTTTCAGGTTGTTTGCATTGGCAAATTTTGGGATTAGGCAAATGTAGGTCTCATTTATATTACCAGGCAAACTTTGAGTAACAAAAAAACTCTACTGAGTTGTGAATGATACCCCAGTATTTTTGATAAAAGAAAGGGTGTATTCCGTCCGGCCTCGGTGCTTTAAAGGGTTTGAATGTAAAAACTGCATTTATGATTTCCTCTTTTATTAAAGCCTTGTCTAGACTTGCAAGATCAATTTTGTTTTGTCTTGAAGAATTCCCTAGGTTGTCTTTCCTATGTGAGGAGGTTTTTGAAGTCATGAAAGCATTCCTAGTGAAGTCTAGGGTATGGCTTAAGATGGAAGGGGGGTTAGTTATCCAATCACCATTGGAGTTTTTATAAAACATGATAGCACTACGACGCTTACGATTTGAGGCCATAATATGGTAGAACTTTGTATTTGCATCTCCATCATTCAACAAAGAGATTCTTGGTTCGTAATTTCCAAAAGTCTTGCTCCATTTTCAAGATATTATTAAACTCCAATTGAAGCTTAGATTCAAGGTCTTGTAGGAAGAAACTTTTGTGGTAAGCGGGGGAAGGTTTGGATATCATTTAGTCGGGCCAGTATGATTTTTTTCTTTTTGAAGATGTCACCAAAAGTATCGTTTTTCCATTCCACTACCATGTTTTTAAAAGAAGCTTGAGCTTCAGGTAGTCCCTTGTTGGACCAACAATTTTTAACAATGTTGATAAAGTCCGGATGCCTACACCAAATAGTCTCTAGTCTAAACGGTTTATTGGAGAAATTTATATTACTAGGATTTAAAGCTACTAATAACGGGCTATGGTCGGAGTGTGTTCTAGGCAAATGAGTGACCATATCTTTAGGAAAAATAGAAATCCAATCATTAATCACAAAAACTCTGTCTAATCTTTCCATTATAAGACTTCTAGATTTTTTCCTATTATTAGTCCAAGTATATTTAGAACCTTTATAACCTAGGTGTAGGAGGTTACATTTGTTGATACTGTTCCACAGTGTGTTACTTCTTCTACAGTTTATAGGATTCCCTCCAAATTTGTCACAAGCACAAAAAATATCGTTAAAATATCCCCCAAGAAGCCAAGGTTTGGGGTTGTTTAAATGGATTTTTTCTATATTTTCCCAGAGTGTACGTCTATTTCTTAGGGTAGTACTTGCATAAACGGAAGAAAATAACCAAACAGAGTTAAAGGGAGTTACCTCTATGTTGGCATGAATTTCTTGATTTCTCCTAACAAAATCATGCATCTTCACAATGCTAGCATCCCACAGGCTGACCATACCCCCCCGATTGGCCCTCAGTTGGCACTTCGACCATATTTGTGAAGGGAAAATCATTAAGAAGGGTTGTATGATTTTCCATTCGAGTTTCTAACAAGGTAACCATGCAAGGTTTGTGAGTATCAACCATCTCCCTAAAGTTGACACGAAAATTTTCATTGTTGCCACCACGAATATTCCAAATGATAACACTAGCAGGCATATACATTATTAATACATGGTTGTTGATTGGGTTGCTCTCCATTCTTACCTAGAGCGCTAGATTCCTTCTCATGGAAGGAACTAGTATCATTGCATGGCTTCCAACAGTGGGATCCTGAGGGGGTCTGATATCCATTGAGAACTGGTACAATGGTGGAGGGCAATTGAATACATATCTCTTCTCTTGCATTTCCTGAAGAGATAGACCTTTACATCGTTTAGACTTGAGAATTCTATTATCTCTTCCGCCCTAGTAAGTTGATTTCTTCTACATTCTCTACTGGAGGCTCTACGTGTTCTTGCACATTGGAATTCACTGCTTGTGGAGGTGGGTTGTTTGCTGGTGGAGCTGTTTGGGCTTGGTTCTGTTGAAAATGGGGGGGCTGCTGCCCATGGCATGAATATTGAGTTCAAGTTTTGAATCTCCCCTGGGGGAAAGAATGGGAGATCCAGGTTCATGTTCTGGGGTTGTAGCGGGTTGAAGTGATGGGGGAGATTCCACTGGTTCCTCATGGCTTGAGCTTGCTGAGCATTCAAGTTGGGTGCCAAAGGTTGAAATATATTGTTCAACCATACATAGTTGTGATAGTTGCTCATGGCCATGTGCATTCCCTCGCTGACAAGTTGTGTTAGGAAGTTATCACAGTGTCTTGGCCATCTAGTATCATGTTGAATGATACTGCATGACTCATGAGTGCCTGTTCTATCCACGAAAGGGGTTGATGATCTTGAGGGAGTGGTGGTTGGATGAAGAACACTGTTTGGTTTCCCTGAGGGTTGTTCACATTTGGGGGTGGGTTTGCTA